GGTACAAACAAGGATTCCACACTTATTTTCCTGTAAGGTCAAATTTTACCTAAATATGTTTAAGAGGAGATAGAAATGAGCTTTTTATTTGAAATGTGATAATGTGTTTTCAGTGATCCATTTAAAAGTGTATGTTCTCTCTGAAAGTTTCAGTGAAACATTCCCATGCTGTATTGATGATCGTCTTATTTTGTCCCCTTCTTTTTCTTTTGGTTTCAGAGGAAGAACTTGTCTCTTTTCCTCAGCGTTAGTTTGTTAACTTTCTGGGGGTCCTCCCTTTTGGGTGCCCGTTTATACTGGATGGGAAACAAACCACCAAGCTTTTCCAACTCTGACAACCCAGCTGCTGATTCGGATAGCTTCCTGGCTCGGACGCTCACCTTTTTCTACTTGCCAACCAAGAACCTCTGGCTGTTGCTCTGCCCAGATACCCTCAGTTTTGATTGGTCAATGGATGCTGTGCCTCTGCTCAAGACAACTTGTGATTGGAGAAACCTACACACTGTGGCCTTCTATACTGGACTCCTCCTGCTCGCCTCCTTTGGTCTGAAGAGCCCTACAATCGAAAGAGAATGCAGTGGGAGAGTTGTGACAAATGGCAAGCAGAATGCGAATGGACACAGTTGCCATTCAGATGTGGAGTACCGGAACTCAGAGATGAAGCCCAGCTTTGCATCCAAAGTAGAAAATGGCATTAAAAATAATGTGTCAGAGAGAACACAACTTCCTTCTACAGAGAACATTGTTGTTCTGTCTTTATCTTTATTAATAATACCTTTTGTTCCTGCCACGAACTTGTTTTTCTATGTTGGCTTTGTAATTGCAGAGCGAGTATTATATATTCCTAGTATGGGCTTCTGCCTTCTGATTACAGTGGGTGCCAGAGCCCTCTATGTTAAAGTCCAAAAGCGGTTTCTCAAGAGCTTGATTTTTTATGCTACAGCTACTTTAATTGTTTTTTATGGACTCAAGACTGCAATCAGGAATGGAGACTGGCAGAATGAGGAAATGCTGTATAGATCAGGGATAAAAGTTAACCCAGCTAAAGGTAATATTTTATTTTGTGCTTTTGATTTGACACTTTAATTTTTGTCTTTTAAAATCTTTGTTCCTTACCTTAAAACACAATATTATGGAAGAAGAGGTCCTTTTAATGCATAAAGTGTGTCTTCTGATCTTTCTTTTTTCTTAAAGGGATGAATAATGAAATATTTTCAGCATTCCATATTTGGAAAACCCACTGTCTTCGAATCTTTTAGGAACAGTCTAGCACCTCCTTCTCCCATGGAGCAGCTGGGGAATTTGAACCATTGCGTTTTGGGTAGGCTGCTGAGCTCTTGAGCCACTGTGCTACCAGCATTCCTTACTTTGGGAATCAAAACGTAAGGTCTTGTGTGTGTGACTGCGATGCTTCGGAGGTATTAGGATTACTGTTTTGTAGGAATGATTAGTGGTATAAGAATGTAGAGACACATTCAGGTCTCACATTCTTAAAATATGATATGAACTTCCCGTTCCTCTTACAACAGAAGTCAAATGACTTCACTCCAGTCATCTGTAGCTCTTTTGTATATTCCATGCATTACCTGAGGAAATTACCTCCAGATTTACATTGACGTCTTTGAAAGGTTTGGAGGTAAGACTACCTCGGAGTCTTGGAATTGTGTCTCTAGATGTCAGTATTTGCACATGCAGGTGTTACCCACCTTTAGCTCTGATTGGGTTAAATAACCACGTAGCAGGTTGTTATTTAAATGTTCTTCAGTTTCTTAGTAAACTCTATATTGTGCAGTGAAAATATTAATCATACAATAATCATGGAATACGAACCATATAAACATTAATCATACAAAATATTAATCATAGGTTTCTCAACTAAATATAATGTGCATAATATATATAATGTATGATTCTTTATATAAATATAATGTGTATAGATACAATATACATTATATAATTTTAATTTAGAAAATTATTTTAAACATCTCAGATTCTATAACCATAGTAGAAAACATTCCCTTTTAAACTATAACTGAATAATCAAAAGCTGTTCCAATAGATTACTCTGGTTTCAGCAATTAAAGAGTGATGGATGTTGGGGAGCAATTGAGTGAAACTAAGTGTATATTTTTAGTGCAGACATATAATAAGCCATACTAAGTAGTCCTGTTTTCTCATAAGCCATTTTTAAGTTATGTATGCTTTAAATTATGTCTTTGGACTGGGCCCTTTCTCCAAAGATCTAAACATCCCAGAAACAGTGTTGGTGTACTTGTCTGATTAACACTAAGTCAAGAGTTCAGTGATCAACTATGCATTTTTTTTAAAGAAAGAAAACTAATTATTGGCACTAACAATTCTTAATAGGTTATAGAAATCCTAAGGGGAGTATAGAAGTATTACATTGAGCTCATGTATGCAAGTTCTCAATTGTCTTTTAAAAGGCATTACCACGTGGATTTACTGGTAGTGAAGATTACATAGTTTATCAAGTGTCTGACCCAAATTTGCTGAAAAATGGTTGGAATCAATTTTAACAGAACAATTTTCAGCTAGTGTTTATTCACTGCTACGTAGAAGTATATAGCGCAAGCTTATACTGCCTATCTATTTTCCTTCTAAGACATATGCATGTTAATAACCTAAAAAAAGCAAAAGGCATCCCAATGTATTATTGCATCAAGGATTTTTCTGAGGATTTATTCATTTTTTTATGCAGCTTTAAGATTGTGCTACTGTAACAAAGAGCCAGGATAATAGTGGCTTAAATAAACCTAAGTTGTTGCAGCCCAGGGCTGATAAGATGGCGCCATGGGTTTTTGATCTGAACGCCTTTTCTTCTGTTCCTTTGCCATCCCTGGTGTGTCACCATGTGCATGTGATTCACGATGACTCTTTATCACATCAGCACTTCAGCTGACAGGAAAAGGAGAGAAAGGGCACATGGTGGGTGTACCTATTCCCTTTCAGAACGTATCTCAGAAGTTGCACACACTGATTTTTTTTAGCATATCATTAGCCACACCTAGTTAAAGAGGGAGGCTGGGAAATATTATCTTTATCCTTGGGAGCTACTAGCCCAGGAAGATTTCAAAGGGAGGGAGGGTGAATGCTCAGATGCTAAAGAAGAAGTAGTCATCTCTTCGTTTTGTTGTATATCCAGGTATTCCCTTGAGTTGTTGTTCTCTGCTATTGAGCGGCCCATAAGTTATGGTCAACCCTGTGCTTATGAAAAAATTGAAAATCCCAGTCATGTGACCGGTTTATATTTAGATTGGACTATTTTGATCCATTGGGTTTTCATGGACTTGTTTTCAGAAATACACCAGGAAGTTTTCCATTCTAGACTATCTTGGCTTGGAAGGCTCCATGAAAACCGACCCTGTCTCCCCCAAAACAAGACTGTGTCTTATATTAATTTTTGCTCCCAAAGATGCGCTCGGTCTTATTTTCTGGGGATATCTTATTTTTCAATGAAGAAGAATACGGTATACATTTATTGTGTATTGTTTTATTAAAAGAGACCTCACATTTCCTGTGTGCTCCGGCTGCACTACGGCCAACAGTGAGCAGTGCGGTGGCACCCACTGCTACGGTCCAGAGTCCAGAGTTACGGTAGCTTCAGTGACCTTATTTTCGGCGAGGTCTTATTTTCAGGGGGATGCTTTATGTTTCAGCGAGAGGCAAAAATGTAAGTAGGTTTTATTTTCGGGTAAACACCGTGTTTAGCATTAGAACAGCAGCTCCCCAGCCTCTACTGAGAGCTATGTGGAGCTTGACAAGAGATATATTGTTCTGCAATGAAACCATTAATTAAACCTAGGTTTCTCACATGAAAGTCAATAATTCTTTGATTGAATTACTACTGCCCTCTTTACAGCATTAGCTACTATTATTGGTGGCAGTTTTTGTTATGACTCTAAGTTATTGTGGTGAGATGGTTAGAATGTTTGAGATGTTTAGAATGTTTGATCATTTCTTCATCCATCTCTTGATCCAGTTGGGATTTGAAGTAGTTCCTTGATGTCGAACACATTTTCATGTCTCTTGTTAAATATTTAAGTAGTGCTATATGCCGAGTAGATTCTCTAATATATTATTTGTTAACTATCTATATGGGCTATTTATATTAATATAAGTACTGTGAGATGTTAGCGTATTCCTGACAAAAAAGTAATCTCCTCCTCCCACTGCTGCCCTGGCAGCTTTTGCCATCTTTGCTGCTGGTAACTTGGGAGTATCTATCCATCCATGCATTAGCACATGCTTTCTGCCTTCAAAAACACATGCATAGCGCGACATATTTGTAAATATCTCCACTGCTGCCACGTGGCCCAGGCCGCTCCCATCTTTCATTGGGGTCATTACTAAGAGCCTCTTCTCTGCTCTCTTCTTTTCTTTTGTTCTTGAGCATGCTTGTACGTTTTTGTTGAAATCTGGACATGATGTATTGAACAACAGCTGAAGTACATAAGGCTTTGGTGTAGGAGATTTCACATTAATCTAGCTAGGAGTTGTGCTGTAGCTGTAGGAGAGCTACACATTCCTCTCTTGTGCTGGTTATTGTCTTCCCTGCTGCCTCTGGACTTCTTAAGACCTCATACCACATCTGTGTCTTGCAGCTCTTTCATGTATAATCCACTGTTATTACACTAGTTCTTTGTGTGTTGGTGTGGTGGTAACACGGTGGGGGGTAAGGCAGGCTTCCCATTATTTTAGGATTAAACCTCAGTCTTTAATGAGCCTATGTCCCTAAGCTGTTTAACTCCATAAGTGTTTCTTAGATATGCCTACACTGCCCCACACTGCCTATGTGAAACAGCGAAGCCTACCCCACTGCCTACCCCCACCCTCACTCTTACCACCCCCTCCGAAAAAAAACAAGCACATTGATCTGTAATTGATTGATAGCAGAAGACTGTTGTTGTTCTTATTGTTAGGTACCATGGGGTCAATCCCAACTCATACACCTCCGTACCACAGAAAAAAACACCGCCCAGGCCTGTGTTATCCTCACAATTGTTCTTACGTCTGAGCCCATTGTTGCAGCCATTGTGCCAATCCATCCTGTCAAAGCATTCCTCTTTTTTTGCTGCCCCACCACTTTACCATACATCTCCCCTTCCAGAACTGGTCTCTCCTGTTGTCAACATAAGAAGGATTCCCTACCCTCACTGCTTTGGTAAGTCTTTTTCCTTAGAGAGTAGGGCTTTATGAGCTTGGACCATCCTTGGCATACTCCACATAGGTCAGAGTGGACTCCAGTGTAAATAATAACATCAATTCTTTTGTCCCTCTTTATAGAGCCTGAAGAGTGTTTTCTTGGCCTTTTGCTATAAAAACTTGCTAGAGCTCCCAGAGGAAAAGGCCTCAAAAGTACCAGCAAATCATGTCTGTGGTCCGTGGAGTTTCCCCCTCTCTTTCTAATTCACATGTAGTCACCAGTGACTTTTAAAAATAGCCATTTCAGTAGGATTACCAGTTTATGACTCTGGGTTAAGATATTGGCTGCGACTCTGGATTTGCCCTTCTCTCCAGATGTCAGGGATTGCGAGCACATGCCACCCAACACTGGAAAGATGAGCATCACAGCAGTGTATTAGTCTTACACACTTACAATCCTGGATGGAGCTCAACACATGGCATGCAGGTTGTATTGGGGAAGAAAATGAATAAACAAGGGTTGCAGCACGCATATTTTATAGACCCAAGAGGGTGGACTGCCTCCGGCTTCCTTCAGGAAGATGTGATTGCCTTGCTTCCATAACCCCATGGATTGTTTTCGGATTGAAACCTATTTTGCCGATCACAGCAGGAACTGTGTCTGGTCTCATCAATAAAAAGCCAAACACCAGACTCAATGTCATTAACTCAGTTGTTGACTCATAGTGACCCCTACGTGTTTTTGAGGCTGTAACGAGGAGCCGGAGGAGAAAGCCTAGTCTTTCTCCCAAGGAGCTGCTGGTGCTTCCAAATTGCCAACCACGTGGATCACAGCCCAGCGCTTAACCACGACACCACCAGGGCTCCTTCAATAATGAGAGGCAA